GGACCTTAAGAGATACTATGCAACCACATTTCAGATTTATGGTATTTTGTGTTAAATTGTATATTGGCTTTCTGATTATTTTTGACATAACTACAACGAGACTTGGCATTTGACTTTATTATAGCTGCATATAAAGTTGGATTTTTCCAAAATGCCAATTTGAAACTAAATTGACAAGACTGACTACTTGAGGGCTGTACTTTACAGAAACAACTGGCAAACAACACCACTGTCCCAAGAGAGATTAATCTTGTAAGCAAGTTATGCAGGTGATTCAAATCCTGTTAATCTCACATAAAAAATGTTAATTGCATTGGCAAAGACATTGCCTCTGATCACTCCGCAGTTATATAATTAGAGATCAGCCCATTCGGAGAGGCTCTGATCTAATTGATAAGCAGTCAGCAAACGACCCTTGAGATTTCTTCCCCGTTTTTCAATATGTGGTCAGACATAAGGTAGTAACACGAAGAAATCAGTGACCTTGTTTTGACACATTTTAAAATTAAGTTTGCTTGTTATTCAATGGTTTAAGATTTTCATGCATATTTATTTTAATTGGACGGGGCTCTAATTGTCCAAACTCTATGGAGTATTAATAGGTATTGAGTGTGATCACTTATCGATGCATTGGATGGTTCTGGAGCATTAATAGGTATTGAGTGTGATCACTTATCAATGCATTGGATGGTTCTGTTATCAACTTACTTTCTAATCCTTCGAGCTTTTCATTTTTTTGGAGATGATTTTGAGTCAAAAGGGGAGACTCAAGTCACTTCCTTGTAATTTTTAAAATTTCTGTCTGAAAGGGGCTTGGTTTTGTGTTTGGTTATTGTAACAATTGCCACTGCAAATGCAAATCATTTGAAATACACTTTTGGCCTGTACAGCTTCTTCAGTCTTCATATTTATGTTTCTGATTCTTGGATTTTCTGGAAATAAAGTTGGTTAAGAAAAGTGGAAAATAGTTCTTACAAAAAATTTCTTCCACTTAAATAAATGTTAGGCAAACCTACAGTTTTTAACATAATGTTTTCTGTGGGTAATTACGAAAATTGCAAAGCAGAAGGTGAGTTTAGTATAATTAAGAGAAAACAATTGGAATAATGAATAATACAATTTAGAGATAATTGTTAGAAAGGGTGCTATGGACATTCTCAGAATAATACTTTAAAATATGTGACCAAGCTCCAGTATCTCAGGAATTTCCCATGTCACATTGTTGGGCAGCACATCCTAATACCCAGGTATAAAACCCATGTGGCTGTGTCATGTACATGCAGGTGACTTTCATCTCACTTCTTCTTTGCCTTTGTTTTGTTTTGTTTTGTTTTTCTATCCATCGAATTACATTTTTTCACCATGAGCCAATGTCAGACTTCCAAAAATTGTATACCACATATGCTCCTGTGGTTATCCAGTTGCTAAGCAACTGGACTCTGCTTGAGGGTAGCAGGGAAGAGAGAAGGTTCATTGTGAAGTTCTGTACCCCTGCTGAGTTCATTTGAACAGCAGCAGGGATCCTGTATCTTGATTCTTCTTGAAATTATAAATCAAGTGCTTCCACGTGTCTCTATATAAAACAATGAGGCTTAGAACAAGTACAATGACCAAAAAAACCCTTAAGGATCCTGATGGTCTCCCCTTGAGGAAAGGACAGCTTAGTTTGTGACATTTCTGATGTAACTTTGGCCATTTGGATTAATTATATGTTGTGATTTTGTGACTGTTAGCAAGTTAAGGAAAGCATACACAAAGTTTTTCTGAAAATATAAGTAAGTATTTTAATGGAACTGGTCTCACATAGTGTTTTTCAATTTATTTTATACCCAGGATAATGTCATGAAAACTTTTCATATTAGATAGGTAGTTTTAATATTGCAATGACTTAACAGTTTTTCAGTGTATAAGTTTGCCGAAATTTATCCTAAAATCTCACGTTTTCCAATATTGTCAGTTTTGCTGCAATGATCCTATGGACTTCTTATTTTTGTTGCAATTATCAGTTATCGAAGTCACTGTTCTGCATTGTTATATTTTGCAGAGTGTCTGCAAGTAAAATTTGGTTCTTCTTCAGTGCTCACACTTCCTTTTTCTTACTGATTTTTCATGTTGGCATGCCCATCTTCTTCTGGACTTCAATGGTCATAACTTTTGTATCTTACTTTTAAGAGAATTTTCACATTTAATTTATGACAAAATATCTTCATCACGTTTAAAAAGTCTTTTTGATTCCTTCATTATTTAGATGTTTTTTAATCCAATAGCTATATCTACAGATTTGATCATATGTATTGTTATTTCCCTTCCTATTATATAAGTAACCTCCTTTATCTCATTGAAAATTTGACTTCAAGTAATAGAAATCTGCCTAACAATGGCTTAGGCATAAAAGGTTCATTTTTCTCATCCTCACCATTTCTATGATGAAAAGAGCTTAAACACACAAACTCACACACACATGCACACACTCACACACACTCCATGTTTTACCTGCCATTCTGTTTCAGTTTGCTAAATGAAAAGTTGAGACACTTTCTAGAGTTTCCTTTTCACTCTATGCGTCTGACTGATCCCCCAGTTTTGATCTCTCTTTTCTGTCCCCTTTTCCACATCCTATGAACCATTGTGTCAGTTTAAGCTGAAATAATTTCTTACAACAACACTTTGACTTAATTCATGACTTTGTTTCTCTTCTACTTTATCTTTCACAGACATGCCAACAAGCCCTTTTTCATATGCTAATTCAAAATGTTGCTTACTTGCTTAAAGTCCTTCAGTAGCTCTCTATCAACCTCAGGGCAGAGCTCACAGTCCTGGAGTGGTGAACAAGGCCTTCATGGTCTTACCACTCACTCTCTGGCTAGCTTTGTCTCTCACCACTTTCCTCAATGAAACTAAGCTGCTCACTATTCACCAGCTTGACCACTTAGTCAAAGTCTCTAGGAGTGGTTGTATTAGCATGTGCTGAATGAGTGAGTGGATGAGAGAAAGACTTCTCTAGCTTGTTCATTCCAGTGTCGGGATGTAGTATGATACTCCTGCTAAAATCAGAGGGAACAGGAAGGGTCTCCTCTTGATGAATCATTTTTCAATCTTGAGTAATATCAATAGTGTCTCAAATCTCTTTAACATTGGGTTGATGTAGTTTTTGGATGAACTGGATAAATAGCTGCACCTGATAGCACAGAAAAAGTCAATCCCGCTTCCTATGCTAATTATTTATTTTTTACTGTTAACATTTGGGACCCTCATAAGGATATATTAATCCTATTGCCTATTTAACTACCAGAAATGATAGCTCAATACCAACTATTCCAGCCCCGAAATAGCTGTTTTGGGTACATAGGGTCCAGAGTTGGAAAAAAATCACACTAAATTATTTTATCTGACATGCAGGTTTGTTCTGTTGTCTGTGGGGCACAATTTGCTGCTAATTTATTCAGAGTGTCTAAAATCTTTAGATGCAACCATGTTTTTCTTTCGTTTTTATGGATTGCTTGTCAATTCTGCATTTACAAAATTTTTCATGATAAAATTCTATTTGCCTTGTTTTATGGCTTGGGATTTTTGAGTCTCAGACTACAGATACTCAAGCATACGCAGAAAATTCTGATCCCTACTGTCAAATTCTCTGCAGAGATACAACTATCTTCCTTCTAAATGCCAATGATAGTTGGTTTTATTGCAATAAAATATTTATCTTGCAACTCACACATCTGTTTTATAAATATGGATCTTGATTTAGTCAATAAAATCAAATACTCTTATTTTATACTCTTAAAATCTATTATTTGAAGTAATTTATTTTCTTTGAAGGTTTCCTGCCAAATACATTTTAGTTTTTGTGGCACTGTGTACAAAATTTTAAATTAGAAGGTTTGAAACTCAAGTCCTAGGTGGCTAAATGTGTCCAGATGGCCAGATGAATCGTGTCAACTTCCTATGAATCTCATCTTTCTTTTCCTTGGCTTAGTTCTCGTTCTACCTCAGTAAGTAGCAATATTGAATTTGTTTGTGATTTTTAGATATGGGCTAATAAAATTTAAATGAAAATTTTTCCAGTCTCAGGCCATTATCCAAAAGGAAAGACACCGGACAAGGAATGCCAGTGTTTAGCAACACATCAAACTGCTTTTTGTTTTATATCCTCAGAAGCTAAGCATCTTATGGACAGGAAAAAACTTTTATGGATAAGGACTTATTTTTCTCTAGCTTTATGTCGGAGAGTGCTAGAATACAATTTAACAGTGCCAAATACAGATTAATAAAAGAAGAGAGGATGAAAACAGTAAAACAGACTACCAAAGAAATAAAAAACATAAAATTAAGTAAAATAAAAATGGATAAATATCTCAAACACTTAAGACCATTGGAGAAAACCTCAAAAAATTGATAAATAAATAGTTTGCAACATTTAATAATGGCAGTCTCTGTATTTAAGAAAAAAAAATCAGGCAGACAGCTTTCCATATATGAAGTTAAAATAGTATGGGAATATTAAGTCCTTATCAAATCATAGCCTAAGTGGGAAAATTTAGGTTATATATATGTGCGAAAGTACACATTTTAAAATTTTCTCTAGCGTTCTTGAGGAATATTAATATTTGGTTTTTAAAATATTTTTATTCCTTTCAACTTTTCGTTTTCCCACATTGAGCCCTGATAATAGATTACTGTGATCATTTTTAATCTCTTTTTCCTGTAGAATTCAGTGTTCTGATTTTTTATGATAGGATCCACCTGATTTAGCTCAGGGATTCAGTGAAAAATCAATTTAATATTTTTTCCAAAGGTTGTATCATCTTAAGTGCAAACTGTAGCTATTCCTTTGTTCCAAAATACTGTGTTTTATTGAATGCTGTTGGACTCACAAGGCCACAGAGTTAGGTACCTGTGTACCAACAGTAAATTGTTTCCTTTGCTTATCTCATAATGTAATTAAAGCACATATAATAGTTTATCTCATTTTACCATTCTTTCTTTTTTTTTTTTTCAAGAACGACCCACATTTCTCAGGAGGCCAATTAACCAGGTGGTACTGGAGGAAGAAGCTGTAGAATTTCGTTGTCAAGTCCAAGGAGATCCTCAACCAACTGTGAGGTGGAAAAAGGATGATGCAGACTTGCCAAGAGGAAGGTAAGACCATCATATGGATGGACTATTGCTAGATAACCAATGAATAATTAAGAAAGAAAAGGACAGCTACAGTGCCACCACCATATACTCCTACGTCTTGGGGTATTTTCACTCATGTGATTTTTACATATGCAAGCCACATATTTACTGTTTGTATATTAAAGTCCTCCAGGCTTTCAATGTCACTTTCAGTGAGTATCTACATCAATGCTTGATTCTTCATTCCACCTCTTATCCCTGGATACCAGGGATTCCTGGGTGCCTTCTTTCCCCGGACCCTTTGGGAATACTATTCCGTTCCCGCAGAATGCCCCCTGCATGCCTCCATCAATGACTGCCCTGTTCCCATGTTTCACCCACTCTGGATACCATTTGTCACCTCTACGGCCCAAAGCATAACCAACAAAAGACTACTGCATGTGGCTGACTAAGTCCTGGAGTAAAGGAAAGGTCAGCACAACACTGAACTGGTAGCAAGTAGTTGGCATTATTTTTCACACAGGGGATTTCTAACACAGGGACCTCCTGTCACTTTCTTTCTTGCCATCTCTTCATGGAGACCTTCTCTTCCATCTCTTTCTTATTGTTCTTATCACAAAGCCCTCAAACCCAAGCTCTCAAGCTCTCATCTTATTCAAAAATGCTTTTCATCTTATATGAAAATAGTTTTAACTTGTTGTTATATAAATTTCCCTAAGACCTTGCCATTTAGAATCAAATCAGTAATTCAAGTGGTTTGTTGTTGTTTGTTGTTGTTTTAACACAAGTAATTTTATCTTTAAGATTTGTTATGGCTTCCTGCTAGTTCTGCCTACTGACATTATAACCATCATACATTCTCCAATTATTGCCTGCATAAAATTGTACAGGCCGTGTTTTACTGGTTCTTGTTTTTTACAACAAATTTTTGGCCAGGCACAGTGGCTCATGCCTGTAATCCCAGCACTTTGGGAGGTCAAGGCAGGTTGATCACCTCAGGTCAGTAGGTCAAGATCAGCCTGACCAACATGGTGAATCCTTGTCTCTATTAATAATACAAAAAATTAGCCATGTGTGGTGGCGCACACCTGTAATCCCAGTTACTCGGGAGGCTGAGTCTGGAGGATCACTTGAACCCCGGAGGTGGTGGTTGCAGTGAGCCAAGATCCTGCCACTGTACTCCAGCCTGGGTGACAGAGTGAGACTCTGTCTCATAAAGAAAAAAAAAAAAAAAAGAAAAACTTTGTTTCATTCAACTGACTGGCATTAACCAGGCTTCTACAGAAGCTATATACCTTTTATGTGCTTTCACTGCTGTCAGTACTTTCCTAAATGTAAACATTCATTTCAAAATTTCAATTTTATAAATCCCAAGATATGATAGGATACTTTATTTCAAAAGACACGTCACTCATGGATTGAATGCACCAACCATTTATAACAGTTACTGAGAGGTTCTTTGCAATCTATGGGAATAAAACAAGTGAAAACATTAATTCAGTTAGTTTTTCGGCCTATGTAGTAGGGAAAGTCATTACTGTGTTTCTTTTATCATTTTAATGCCAGACATCTATCTTTAAAGGAATGGTATTATTAGAAGATGTTTGTAAATGTGAGGCTTTTTGTGCCATCTCATTGGAGAAGCAGGTTAGAAAACAGGGAGAGTTTACACTATTGAACTGTTACTGTCCATCCTCTACACATAGTCAACAACTTGCTTCAAATTTGAGAGCACATAATAATGAATAATTTTAAAATGTTAATGTAAGGTGAAGAGATTAATTCTATAGTAAAATTTATCCTAGTGTAAACAAAGGTTTATTTTTTAAAACTGGGAGTATATGGCCTTGTCCATTGTAACTTCAAAAACCTTCAGTTTTGGCATAATTTTGATTTATAGGAAAGTAACAAAGTAACAGAGAGTTTCCATATACACTACACCCAGTTTTCCTTATTGTTAATATCTTACACGACTATAAAACATTTGTCACAACTAATGAGCAAACCTTGATACGTAATAATTAAGTAAAGTGTGTACATTATTTGGATCTCCCAGGTTTTCATCATTGTCCTCTTTCTACTCCAAGTCCTGTTCAGGTAATTATTGAGGTGGGTGCCACAGACTTCTGCATTTGTTCTCATGTCTCTCTGGTGTCTTGTGGCTTGTTACAGGTTCTTAGTGTTTCCTAGTTTTGTGAGCTTAACAACCTTGCAGGGAAGTACTGGCCAGGTGCGCTATCGAATGTCCCCCAAACGTGGATTAGTCTGGTGTTTTCTTCTATTAGAATGGGTTCATAGGTTTTTGTTTTTAAAAAAATGCCGTAGAAATGAAATGCTCTTCTTATCACATTGTATCGGGGGTACATTATATCCGTATAACAGCACTGGTGACCCTGTTAATTTTCAAACATTGAGCAAGAGCTCGTTGAAAAAAGTATTAAAAATAGAGAATTGTAAGTGTGTGTTGCATTTTAACATGTCTATGTTTCTGAATTAAGGTAAAATAAAAATGAATTGAGCCTAGTTTGATTATTTTCAGTTTAATGTAGGTGTTGGTCATAAACCTGACAACTTAAGCTGCTACACTGTTCTCTAAATCTTGCCAAATTCATTTGCTTCAAAGTACAAATGATACATATAAATCAAACAACAGCATTCAGGTTACATTTTCAGAAGGTATGATATCAAGGCCACTAAACAACAAGGTTGAAAGCATGAGAAATCTTAGTTTCATTAACTTCCTTTAAAACATTTTCATAGCTTTGGCCTCTTTATTCTTTTTACTGGCATATTATTGTAGTACTTTGTGTAACCAGTTAAATATTTTTAAAATCTTAGGCAAATGGAAGTGCTGTGTAAGCTTTAAATTGTTTTGTTAGAGAGGCTTAAAGCAAGGATAAGTGTAATATAGAAACTGAGGTCAATATTTTCATCATGAAAGAAGCATGTACTTTTTCTTGAATTCCCAGTCTTTAAGTGATATTTCAGAGGAGTTTATTCCTTCCTCGATTTGTATGTATTAGCATAAGCCTCACTTATGCATAATGAGAGGGAAAGATACTTCTTTCCTTGGTGAGGAATAACAGTAATAACTTTTAGCCAACCATAGACTAAATCAACAACATTGATTCTATTACATTATTTAGGTCTCAGACTAGGGAGATGGCCATTGTTCTTGTATAAGCAATTGGTGTGGTGGATGACATTTCTTTGGCTTAACACTTAATGAAATTTGAATAAGGTTTGTGTAGTGGTTCATGCTTAACACATTTATAGGAAGGCTTTGTAGGACAGCTGCATAGCCTGTAATTACTATGTAAGTAATATGTGACTATTTTTCTTTTGGAGACAAGAAAAGCTTTTCAATTCAAGTTTAAATTTATGAAATGCTGTAAGAGCTACTAAAATCTTCAACACAGAAGAAGATATCTGTGCCAACCTTTCAGTAACCAGAGATGAATTAAGGGAGTATTATTTTCCCCTTGCCTTGAAAATATTTTTTAAGTAGTACTGATATGCCTCTTTCTTTTATTTAGTCTTAAACTCCTGACCTTTCTCAGTAACTACCTTTAATGAAATTACAACAGACTCAGTGAGTTGTATTAAAACATTTTCTGAAAAGATGAATGTTTCAGTGAGGTAGGAAGCATAGCAAGTCTAACAATAACCCTTATGCTCAACTAGGGAAAGTTATTTATGTGGACATTTTCCATGTGACCAAGGGAAAAAACGGGAAGGAGTCTACATTATACACATTAGTGCCAAACTGTTAATTCCTTGCAGAGACTTCTGAAGATATGACCATTTCACAATTGAATATTTCAGGAAGCATACTGATTCTGTAGCAAGTACCAATACTGTTTTCTAGAAGGTTTCAATACATATATATTAGGGACAAAAATTTCATACACTAATGTGAAAATAAAGTGAGTAGGGGGAACAAGCAAGTGAAAGGCATTTTATAGTTTATAAAAATTATGATTTTTAAAGCACATTTTAAAAGCATAATTTAAATAGTAGAAGATGCACTTTTGCGTTTACCTACATTTAGTGAGTGCCTACTACATTTTAATGCTCATTGCAAGTTTGTAAAAGTAAGAAACAAGGTAACTTAACTGTTATTAGTTCTTTTTACTTTTTGTTTTATATTAGTGAGATTGGATGATGTGGGAAAGTATTTACATTCTGAATACAGTAAAGAAAGTAAACTGGAGCAGCTCTAGTTATATTCTTGGGTACTGTCTGTCTTTTGAGGGCAAATATCCAACATTTTGCTTATTAGTACTCTCTTGATTAAGTGCCTTCAATACACCTTTTCACAAAGTGTTTTAGGTGATAGAAGTTGCCAGTATTTTTAATAAATGAGGTGAGGTTCCACCTCATGCCATGTTCCATCATAACATAAGTTTATTGTGTATTTTTGTTATATAAATATATTTATGTGCTGAAAGTCTGTAAAAAAGTATAAAATGAAGAAACATTACCATAACACAAGTAACATGACATAAAGAAACAATATAATAAAATTGTAACCAAAGATATAAAAATAAATTGAAATATGACAACACTGCAGTGTTCTGTTCAATTTAATATTGAGATTTTTTTAAAAATCCCTCTTGGAACTTGGATAAGAGTTAGTGTGATTAATCTGATTGTGAATTCTTATCTATACATGTCAGCAGACTTTGTATTTCATTTCATTATTAGCAGCCTTTAAAGAACTGTAAACAGGAGATTTAATATCTCTCATCAATCATGTAATTTTCAGCATATTGCCATTAGCTCCATTTTCTTTTTTTATTTCTTTTTTATTTTCTAAACTAACTCTAAAGTGACACTAAGTTCCTCAATAACAACTTCTGTCTTCCACAATAGAGAAAGGAATGTTCAAAATCGCTTGTCAGAAGAAAAAGGAAATAAAATATGCCATTTACATTCTTATGTATGCCTGCAAATTCTAAATTTAGTTGATGGCTTGCACATAGTGGATATAATTAATGAATATTTCATAAAACAGGAAA